ATTAAGGTTTGACCACTATGGGACCTTCCTAGGGTGGCAGTAATGAGCAGTCTGCCATCTTGCTCCCACAGTGCCAGGCAATGCAGCTGGAAAAGCAAGTCAACCAACACTGAAATGGAAAATTCTGCAAGCCTGCCTTTTTCAAAACAGCCGCCTTTTCGCACAAGCCCACTTTGTCCCCAGCATATAAAAGCAAGCCAAGCAGAGCCAGTCCTCCCCCAACCCCCACGAGCCAGTTCAGAAGACCTTCCTTTCCTCTGTGCTATCTCCCTTGTGCTTGGGCATAAGCTTAATAAAATCTGATTGGGAATTTCTCTGGGATTTCCTCTCGATTTCTATCTTGGGGAACCCAAGAACCCCAATGCCAGTAACAGTATGATTCCACTTATGGGAGGCCCCTAAAATAGACAAATTCAGAGAGGAAAAAATAGACTAGAGGTTACTAGGGGCTCACAAAAAAGGAGAATGAGTAATTGTTTGACAGGTACAAAATTTCTGTTTGGGATGAAATTGTTGTGGAAATCCATGATGGTTATGCAACACTGTGAATGTGCTAAGTACCAATGAATTAAAACTGTTAAAACTAGTAAATTTTAAGTTATGTATATTTTACCACAATAAAAAAATAATAATAATAAGTACAAAAGAAAACTCCTGCCAACCTAGAAGACTACATTCAACAAAAAATATATTTTAAAATTCAAGGCAAAAATAAAGATTTTTCAGATAATGAAAACTGTGGATAGAACCTAGGGCAGCCTTGGGAAAACTACGGCCCGTGGGCCGGATCCGGCCCGTTTGAAATGAATAAAACTAAAAAAAAAAAAAAAAAGACCGTACCCTTTTATGTAATGATGTTTACTTTGAATTTATATTAGTTCACACAAACACTCCATCCATGCTTTTGTTCCGGCCCTCCGGTCCAGTTTAAGAACCCATTGTGGCCCTCGAGTCAAAAAGTTTGCCCACCCCTGACCTAGGGCATTCAGATCCAAAAGGGTCTGGTTCAGGTTCCTCTGTAGGACCTTGGCAGCTTCCATGGTGTCCTGCCCCACTCATTTAGGGAGGTTTCTGTACATCGTGGAAGAGGGCGCAGCCACCAAACTTATTTTGCATCAAGAGACAATAGGCACCCTCCCATTCCTCCTCCACCAACTGGCAGAAGAAGTGGCCCAAGCTCTTCAGAGCCACATCATCGTGGTCAAAACAGAAGTCCAGAGAGAGGTAGGTGTAGAAGGCCTGCAGATGCATGTAGACCAGGCAGTTGATGGTGGCCTCCACCTCAGTGGAATAATTCTGACGAATTTGGAAGCACATGGTTGCTCAGCAATAAGGAGCTAAGCTCAAAAATGGTGTTGGCTGATTTTGGAGGCCAAGGATGGCTGACATGATTCTGAAAACAATGGAAGAGCATAATTTCTACTCCTAAATGCACCATAGGTCAATACTATTCTTTTTTGCAAAAAATAGATGAATATATCACTTAACTTCCAAATACCTTATTTATTCAGAGAACATTTCTTGTTAGTTGCTTATGTAAGTAACAAAAAATCTATTAGCAATATATGTGTGTGTGTGTGTATATACATATATATATTTCTTGTTATAAGCACAAAACACTAATGTATAGTCAAAATACTTTGTCATCTGCAAAATATCTAGTAATGACTGTTTTATAACACCTTTTTATATAAATGTTCTGAATTAATAAGAAGTACAAAATAATTAAAACTGGCTGAGCACATGAGCAAGTTCATCTCCACTCTACTAAAACCTTACCAAAAAGAAATTTAAAGAGACAAAAGACTGACATACACTGGGATGATAATAATGAGGAGGGTAATACCAACCTAATGCTAGAATGCAGAAAGCAAATGAATGAATACACAGTAACTGAGTAGAGGAAGACAAACCCCGATGACTAGTAGCCAAGACATTACTAATCAAACTAATTTCTTCCAAAGTAAATAATTTCTGACCAAAAACCATCAGAAGAGCTCCAAACAGAGAGCACCTGTTATCTCTGAAAGCCAGGTTGAAACTGAAAACAGGGAAACTGGCAGAAGCTATCAATAAGGAACAGGTAGATGCCTAATCCCCTCCTCCTGCTTGCAGGAAACATGAGGTTAACGCTGGAAAGGCTAAACCAGAGGGCCCCAAATAAGTGGACATCAAGTACATCCTGGGGGCAGGTATGAGGGTTCTGCTTAAAACTGGGATTTATATAAAAAGTCTGGAAAAAAATAAAAAGAGGTAAGACCTTTAGCCCCTTCCCTTGAGCTAAACCAGAATACTGGCTATTGCCCTGCCAGAGCTGGGAAGATTTCTCTCTAACTAGTACAAAAGAAAAACATATAGACATTTGGTTTTGTTGGGGGAACAACTGGGAATTCCCTCAACAAAAAAAGCATGATCACACCATCCCCCTTGAGGTCACCCAGACCTGTCCTCACAAACAAAGCTTCCAAATGGCTTTTAAGTGCCACACTCATGAGTATGAAAACAGCAGAGGGTCACTGTATGGTTGAGGAAATTGGCTAACATGTATTGGGGTCTGAAACAAAAAATAAGACAGCAAAAAGAGAAACAGCAGGTAAGAACAAAATTTAAAGAATTGTATCCTAAGAGATAAGCCAAAATACATATTAAGTTTGTGAACCGAGAACAGGACACTACTTTTAAAAGTATTCATCACAGATGAATCTCTAGAAATTAAAACTATGAAAACCAGTCCTAACCAGTGTTGCTAAATGGTTAGAGCATTACCCCACACACCCAAATGCTCCGAGTCAAGGGCACATACCTGAATTGCAGGTTCGATCCCTGGCCTTGTCAAGGCGCATGAGGAAGGCAACCAATCAATGTGTCTCTTTCATATCTATGTTTCTCTCTCTCCCTTTCTCCCTCTCTCCCTCTCTTCCTCCTTCCCTCCTTTCCACTCTTCCTAAAAGTCAATGGAAAAAATATCCTCAGGTGAGGATTAACAACAACAAAAACTATGAAAACCAAAATTATAAATTCATCACAATTTAAAAACTTAGGAGATAAAATTAAAGAAACTTCCAAGACAGGACAAAAAAAAATTTTTTTTTAAATTAATCAATTTTTGAAAAAGAAACAAGGGATTGGAGCAAAATCCACCATTTAATTTATAGAAATTAGAAAAAGAAAACTGAACGATAGGGGAAGAGATTAGTATACTATTTTTTTAATTTTTCCAAAACTGAAGCATACGAACCTCCACACTGAAAGTACAAAATGAGTACCCAGAATGCTGAATAAAAAATACCCATCCCAAGATGCTTCACTGTGTTAATAAGAACGTGGGAATTAAAAGCTTACTTCCAAAGAGAAAGAATACACCACAAAAAACTGGGAATCAAAATGCCAAAGGACTGAACAGCAAGACTGAAAATTTTAAAATAAAAATAATTTCTTCAAAAGCCTAAGAGAAAATTATTTCTAGTCTTGCATATACTAAATGCAGAAGCAAAATAATTTTAAAAATAAATAGATAGATAGATAGATAGATAGATAGATAGATAGATGATAGATAGATTCAGGAAACAGATAATGTGATTTTGGAGAGAGGAAAAGGAAATCCCAAATGATGGTGAGGTGAAGACCAGCAATGACAAATACACAGCAGGCCCAGTAAGCATCCACTCTAGACCTTAAGGTGCCAGGTGAGGTGTCTCCAAGGAAAACAAAATAGCCCTGGCTGGTGTGGCTCAGTTAGTTGGAGCATTGCACCCTTCTATATAAACCTTAGTATCTCTAATGACAAGTTCCTAGAATCAGAATATGTTGAAGGCTCTTGATCTATACTATTTAACTATCCTCCAAAATTTCTGCCAATTCACATTTGTAGCTATAATATATGATGTTCAGTTCACCACACATCTACCAGTAATAATGTAATGTTTTTTAACTCTCACAAATTAAGAGAACAAATTTAACATGTACTAATTTTGATATAAATTTCCCTATTAGTTAAATTACCTACTTATGACTTTTGAGCATTTTTCTACTGGGGTATTACATGTTTTTGTGTGGTTCTTAATTTAGGTAAACCTTTTTTTAAAAAAAATATATTTTATTGATTTTTTACAGAGAGGAAGGGAGAGGGATAGAGAGTTAGAAACATCGATGAGAGACAAACATCGATCAGCTGCCTTCTGCACACCCCCTACTGGGGATATGCCCACAACCAAGGTACAATGCCCTTGACCGGAATCGAACTGGGACCCTTCAGTCCGCAGGCCGACGCTCTAGCCACTGAGCCAAACCGGTTAGGGCTAGGTGAACCTTTTCATAGATTAAGAATATGTATTCTTTTGTCATATTTATGGTAAGTGTTTTTTTCAGTCTTAACTCCCACAGTCACTTTTGTTTTTCCTTCTCTTACACTTGGTACGTAGAAATCCTTCCTCAACTCAGGGACAGCTAAATGATGATCTGTTTTCTTCTCACTCTCTGAGGGGGTGGTATTATGGTTTTACTGTTAGTAATTATTTTAAGTAACCTAAAAGAAATCCTTTTAGCAATACTTCTATAAAGACATGAGAAAGCAATGCAGGGCCCAGGCCAGTGTGGCACAGTTGGTTGGGCATTATCCCATGCACCAAAAGTTTGTTGGTTCGATTCCAGTCAGGGTACATGCCCAGGTCACAGGCTAGATCCTGGATAGGGGGCATGCAGGAGGCAGCCGATCGATGTTCTGCTCTCACATCAATGTTTCTCTTTCTCTCTCCTTCTCCCTTCCTCTCTCTCTAAAATTAAATAAAAGGTTTTTGTTTGTTTTTAAAAAGATGCAATGCCGGGACCTCAGGAATATAAACATAGCTTAAAAGCAAATAATTTTCTATGTGTCTTTTAACTAAAATTTTTCAACATACAAGCTTTCTTCCTTAAATATCAGTACTATCTGGGTCAAAAGCAATATAACACTCTCAGGTATATATGCTAATATAGCTTAATTTTGAAAAGTTTTTACTCACTTGTGGTCATGATGTTAGGAGGGCAAGAAGGTATTCCATGATCTACTGCCCATCTGTAGGCTCCTTCTCCAACTAAAAAGCTAACAACAGAAAAATTATTCTTTTAAAAATTCCCAGTGTCATCTTCTCTACATATTCAATTAAGTAATATAGTAAGGCAACTGAAAAGTTTTGCATATAGATATAATTCTAGACTTCTTTAAAATAAAAATATGGCTATATGCCAAAAAAAGCCTTTAAAATTTTTCCCAATTTAGAGAAATTTTACAATTAGAAATGTTATCATTTCATTTGTAGTAACTAGTAAGTAAAACCCAACATAAGTAGTTGATTTCCCAATGGAAAATATTAAGATTTACCAGTATCTTGGATCAACATGGTTCTCAGCTGACATCACAAGATCTATTTAATCTGATTAAGAGTCAAAGTTTAAGTGAATGTCTTCAGATATGGTATTCTTACCTAATAGTACACCTGGCCTAACTCAAAATGAGTGGATATATCTAGAAATGCCCTAAAACAATGAGATGTGCTTACATTCCTTTATGCAAAAAAAATATATACCTGACCCTCAGGATCATTTTTACTGTGGGAAGTAAAGTACTATGATGTCCCAAAAGTAATTTTTAAGCCTCAAACTGCACATTTGAACATAAGAAAGTAAATAAAGGAATACTGTTAGCCCGCTCTAAAAGACTTATTTTCAAAGGTTTCAAATAGCATGCAGGATAATTAACCACCCCATTTTCTAACACATAATAGCAAGCAGTTACCATTATAATCAGTCACTTCATCTCCTTCCATAGCCAACTCCTTAAAGATCTCAGCCAGCTAGTAATGGATTCCTTGAACAAGTGCCTACTCATTAGTTTGCTGTTCCTTATTTTTTGTTTCTATTCTTCTAATCATTCCAACACTAAAAACTCAAAGCAATACATATTGAAGTCTTTAGATTTGATTGTTAGTAAGAAGATCGGTGACAGACTGGCAAAACAAAATAAGTAGACACTCAGAAACATACCCAAATGGTTCCAATGAAAAACTAAACGGTTAAGCCCAATAACTGTTTTCCAATGTACGTAAAGGTGGGGATGGAGGGGGCACTGAATAAAGAGAGGAGGAAGGGCCAACTGGAATAAACAACTTTACCTCTTCAAACTCCCACTTTAAAAAAAAAAATTCTAAAGGATTCTGAAAATATAAAACAGTTTCTCTAATTCTCGTATCAGATGAAAAACACTGCAAAGAAACTGCAAAGAAAAGCTGCCACATAGAGTTCAAATGGAAGAATAACTGAAATAGGAACTTGGATGTGAGTTGAGCTGTCTTGACAGCATCTTTAGTACTTCCTTCTTCTAGAAACAGAATTTGGATATAAGAAATGACTTCTCTTCATGCAAAGATGTAAAAGAGATGCTGAAGTAATAAACTAAATGATCAGGACAGACATTTGGAGCTGAATCTAGTATTCTCAGTAGGCCCATTGATCATTTTGGGTTCAATCCCAGTATCTGGAATCAATGGCATTTTACAAAATATTCTTAGTTTTATCTTTCATTTCTTAGTCATTCATAGACTTGATTCTAAATAAAATCCATCTGCCATTGTCTGCTATGCAAGTTTTTAAGTAAATTTGGGTATTTTACAATATTCACAGGAAGGTGAATATTTGGATGCCATCTTATTAATAAGAATACTGAATATCAGACCTTAAATTACTATAAAAATTACTTGTCTAATAGCTCATCATCACACAAAATGGAATAACTGCTTCTGAAATCACTAAAAGATCCTGTAAAGCTACATTAGCTTTTGCCAAAAAGAAACTATACATGTCAAAAAAACAAAGACTTTCCAGAACATTAAATGCAGTACCAATTCAAATTTATCTGTCTTCTGACTATCCAAAGAGAAAGCTTTTAGAAAAGTTTCACCTCAATCAAGTTTTAAAAAAAAAACCTACTGAACACTACCTTTATAATTCACCCAAAATCTGACCACTTCTCACCACCTCCACTACTAACACCTTGCTCTAAGCAACCATCACCTGCTACCTGGATTGTTGCAAAGGCCTCACTATTTTCATACTTGCCTTGCTCTGCTCCCACCCCAGTATATTCTCACCAGCCACTGACATCCTTGTAAAGCACGTCAGATAATGACATTCCTCTTCTCAAAAACTGCAAAACCTTTCATGAGCACTCTAGTGTAAAAACTGGAGTTTTCACAAGAATCTATAAATTCTCCCAAGTGATCTGATCCTTGATGCCCCTCACCTTATCTCTTATTCCTGTTGCCCCCTTGCTAATTTTACTCCAGCCTCTTGTAAAACTCAAACATGCCATGGGGGCTTCTGCCTCAGGGCCTTCATCCTAACTACTCTCTATCAGGCTCTCCCAAAGGCCGATTTCCCTCATCTGCTCCAGTGTCTGTGCTTGACAAAACCTACTTAAAACTGCACCCCAACACACTGCACTCCCCTATCCAATACTCCCAATCCCTCATTCTGTTTTTACATTTTTTCTTTTTTCCACCTTATACCATACCATATACTTTATAATTTACATATTATATAGTCTATTCCTGTCTTCCCTAAATAAACTATAAGCTTCATAAGAATGGGAATCTTTGTGTCTTCTTTGATAATCCCAAGCATTTAGAATAGTACCTAAAGCACAGTAAGCACTAAATAAACACTGATGAGATATTAAAAATAAATTATGGTGTCAAAATTCCCTGAAGGACAACATTTTTCTTCTGTTATACCCATCTTAACTTACATTAAGACAAGTCTAAAGTGAATTAAAACAAAAAGCAATAGCACTCTAGGGAGGCCAGCCCTGAGGTGGAATGATTAACACCTTCAGGACGCTGAGCTGTAGGTGCTACTGCAAGCCTAACACAGCCAAAGGTCCCAAGAAGGGCTACCTGGGCAAACAGTGATGAGACTTACAATCTTATGGATGAGAACCACCCATTTGCAAAGAACCAAGAATCTAAAATTGTGTAACTTAGTGATTCAGAAAACTCTTAAGAATGCTCCTAGACCCCAATAATCAAATTCTTTATTAAACGAAAAAGATATAGGAGAAAATGATAGCTGCTGCTTTGGACTTAAAAACTGATTTCTATTTATTTTATCTATCACTTCTTTGTTCATCACAAATATACAAAATTGATGGCAGACAAATTAGTAGCTATTAAGTAAAGCGTATAGACACAAAGTACAAATAAAGAAGAACCTGCTATATTTGGAAATAACACAACAAATTAAAAAATAAGAATTTAACTTCTTTAAAAATGTATTACAGAAATTTTCAAACATACATTTTAGAGAATAGTGTTATGAACTAAATGGATCATCAATCTATTTCATCAATTATTAATACCAGTACACTAGTGGCCCGGTGCACAAATCTGTGCACATTGAAAGGAAATTAATTAGAAGAAACATTTTAATATCACTATTTGCTCTTTCTCTATAATAGAAGTGTCAACTAAATTCACAATCGACAATGACAGATCGAAACACATGCGTGCAATTGGCGCCAGTGAGAGCTTTATATGTATCGTGCATGCTCAAGTCAACTTAGCCTTTTATATATATAGAATAAGCTTGCTTAATTAGACCTGCTTTCTGATTTAGCTAAACTTTTTCCAGCCCAGTATAGCACCCCAAATTCTCTTTCAGGTAATTGTCAGCAACACAGCAGTAAATATCAACACAAAGCAGATTATTATTGTAGATCACGCAGGGAGAACAAGGGGTAAAATATTTAATTGCATCAGTGTTTGACTATATTCTGTGTGGTGAGAAAACCTGAAGTCATTTTCAAGGTCCACCAATTCTTACTTCTTTTCAGTTGGGTCAAGTTTCTAAGCTTTCTAAATCTCCATTTTCCAGCTAATGAAAAGAAAAGAGGATTCCACCGAGTCTCCTATCTACCTACTCCAGGACTTATGTGAGGATCAAATGAGATGAGGCACAGGAAAAACACTTCACAGACATTTGGTTAAAGTGTAAAATGTTTCCACCTGGCTATAAAGCAAGTTGTGTTCCTGGGCTGAAGAAACGCCAAGGAGCCTAGTCGCTAGGGAGAGGAAGCCGGGAGTTGCTACGTTACGTCATTGCCCAGTGCCCATAGCCACCGTTCCTGGGCTGGGCTGAGCAGTAGGCTGTATTTTGCACCATGGGGTCTCAGCAATGTCAGCTGTAATTTGGTGAGGTATTTCTCCAGGATGGTGGCGGGGCCTGTGTCCCACTTGGGGGAAGCTGAGTGTTGCTTTGTGGGTGCCAGGTCCACGGTGCTGTTTCTCTGTAAATGGTCAGTGCGTGTCATGGCAGCTCCTGAGTTGAGCATCTGCCTCCTGGTGGTCAGTGCGCGTCATAGCAACCGGTCAGAAGGTCAGACACTTAGCATATTAGCCTTTTATATATATAGTTTGCTAATCTCATTCATTTATACCCCCACCCAAATTATTTTGAAGCAAATCCCAAATATAGAATTTCAAATATAAATATTTTGCATACATCTCAAAAAGTGATTTTTAAATGATAACCACACATAAACAAATGACACCAAAAAAACAATTAACAATAAATCCTTAGACTCAAAATATAGTCAATAGAGGTTCACATATCCCTAATTGTCATATAAAATTTTGCTATTGCTTTTATTTTGTTTGTTAAACTGTTTGGTTTGAATGGAAGTCCAACTAAATCTATATCATTTGATAGGTCTCTTATATTTCTTTTAATCTTTAGGTTTCAAATTTTCTTTTAAAGTTCATACAACAAAAGTAGTATATTCAAAAATTTAATAAATTTATAAACAACAATAGATTAAATAGTATTTTTAAGAAACAATACACTAGGATACTCAGGGAATTGAGCTTTTGTAAACTACTGCAGGTATACAGTGAACTTTTGTGAAAGATTTCTGCTTCTGAACAATAGGGAGTAACAAGGAAGAAATTTATACTCTTGCATGAACCAATGAAAAAACAGTCAGACAAAATATAGAAAACAACAGTTTTTAGACGTTAGTAGGAAATGGAGGACAGTGATCCTTGAGGCAAA